GATTAATTTATAATTTAAAATTTTATAAAAAAAAAATCAACTGTCGACGAAATGATCATGTCGGTAAAATGTTTGTCAGTGAAATAAACATGTCGGTAAAATGATTGTGTCAGGAAAATGATCATTGGTGAAATATTTATCAGTAAAATGATTCTATCAGTAAAATGTGTGTCGGTAAAATGATTGTTGGTAAAATGTTTGTTAGTGAAATAAACCGGATCCATTAAGCCATTGTGTTGCAATTTCTATACTGATAATTTTTTTTCTCATGATTCCTAAATTAACAAGTAATTTTTGTTCAACAAATGTTTTGAATTTTAGCAGAGTGGTTTTTCCACCTTGTGAACGAATCCAAGTGTGATATTTTTCTGCTATATCCTCATCATTTATTAGCCAGATTGTCGATGTTTACCTTGATGGCTTATTGAAAGATGATTATTTTAGAGCTAATAATTGATCCAATAACGAATAGTTCATACTCTATATGAAGCATACCCAATAAAGACTAATTGTGCAGCTTCATTACTAGCTTTTACCTTGCCTTTTCTATTATCACCCAGTCTTTTCAAATATTCAAAAATTGCTTATTTTTTGTTGAATTCAGGCATAAATAATTTTTTTTGTTTTCTTTAAGTTCAATCCTTAAACTTTCAATCCTTTTATTTATATCAAGTTAATCATTATATTCATTTTCCATATCATCCAAATTTTGTCAAAATTATCTGAAGTTGTTTGTTTATTTATAAGTGTTAAAATATCCAAAGTTTCTTTTGCAGTTTTTGTGAAAGAACCACTTGGTCTATATTTATCGAAATAAGTTGATTTTTTGATTATTTCAGTAAGGTAAGGTCTACGTTTTTTTTTTAGATGTGTATTATTTGACCAAACTAACTTACTTTTATTTTTATTTTTATTTATTAAATCAATTTCATCCCAACCATTCTCATCCTAACCACTATCATCCTCATTTTCCCAATCATTCTCATCCTCATAATTATTTTCATTCCTCTAATTATCCTTATCATCAACTTGTGATTTCTTTACAAATGTTCTATTACTATTTTATTTTTTCTCTTTAATGATAATTTTTCTCTTTGATAGGCGTATCATTTTTATTATAAATATTCAAAAGCATAGGAAAATTGAAGTGACATAATAAATTTTATGTAAAAATTTCACATATAGCATTGATCTTATTATATTTTAATTTCTTCGAAAGCCATTTTTCTAAATGGATAATTCCCAAAAATTTTGGGCTGAATTATCATAATGCAAGCTGAAATTTTCAGTATTATGCCCAACATTATACCAATTCTTAAGTCTGAAATTTTCCATTTTACTATATGTATTATATGAAAATTCCTAAACTTAAATTTAAAATAACTCTAAAATTTATTTAACATTTTAAAAAATAAACTAGTAAAAATATTTAGCATATACTATTACTTAATTTTATTGGTTAAATTTTCAAATCATTGTTTTATTTTTAAATTTTTAAAGTCATATGATTTTTGTGAAGTTTATAGGTGACAGCCACCATACAATTTTTTTAAAAAATTTTTGATCATTTATAATTTAAAATATATCTACCTATATTATATTTAAATATTAATTAATAAAATAAGCAGATTAATAATGTTTAAAAATTAACTTGTAACTATTTTTCATATTTTAACACAATTTGTAGTATTATCAATAACTAATGCATTTATTTTTTTAGAATCAATTTTCTCAATTATTCTAATAATTTCTCTTGTTAGAAACTTTTCTGTATAGTGATTATTTGAATAATCTTATTATGACCTCAATAATAAAATATTCTTTTATTAAATCTAATTTTTCTTTTAAAATATTTATTATTACTTTAAGTTGAACTATCTTATTTTGATTTAGATAAAACTTAAAAACTTCTTACATTTTTGCAAATTTTTCTTTTAAAATTTTAAAACATTTTGTAAAAAATTTATTGCTTTTTTATATTTAATAAAAATCATTATATTTATTTATATATATATATATTACTTATTTTAGTTTTTTAAAATTTTTGTAAAAGAAATATCAAAAACTAGAAATTTCATAAAATTAAGATAAATACAATAACATTTTAAAAGTAATACATCATGTTACTAATTATAATTAATTTCTATATAACTGAAATTATCAAATGCTTTACGTATTTTATATTTTACTCATTTATTTAGTATTTAATATTTAGAATTAACAAATTCTGAAATTGTTGATATTTGATTTAAAGCTCAAATTCTATAGTAATAAAATCAAAAAAAAAGTATTTTGATAAATACATCACAAAGTTTATTTCTGAGTTAATATTTTCTACTAAATTAAGTAATACAGTAAATAAAACTATACTAATTTATTTAAATTTTAATACTTATCAGATTGATCAACTTTATCCTAATTAGATCCTGATGTAAAGCAATTTTCAAATTTCTCAGATTGGAATTATATCTTCCATTAATAACTTAAAGAAAAAAAGCTATAATAAGCATTCTATAACATATTTATTTTATAAAAAAAATAAAGTGCAAAATTTTACTTAACTTTATGTAAATTAATTAGAATAAAATAATATAAACTTTAATAAAAGTAAAAGTGAAAAAGTTAAAAGGTTATTTCTACATTTTATAATAGTATATGTTGATATGTTAATATATATTAGTTATCAAATAAATTATTGCAATATGTTAATAATAAATAATCCAAATAGTATATATCATAAAACAAACCTATTGAAAGTAAATTAAATATATCTTTAATTAATAGTTTTTGAATTTTGATAAATAAAGAATCACAGTTTCAATAAATAGTCGCATGCAGTGTTGGCATTGGACTCATTCCAATTGATTCAATTAGACGATTTGGACAATTGGACAATTGAATATAGTCCAATTGGATTTGGTCTAATTGAACGTCCAATTAAATTTAACCGGGTCAATTATAATGTCGATCATTTAATAAATTACTAAATTCTAAAAATTTTAACGGTAGGTAGTACAATCAAATTTTTTTTTTTTGTTTTATCTTTTTCCAAACGAGTTTTTTTTTTATCAATTTTTACGATATTTTTTATTTTTTTTGACTACGGAAACCTATTTGTGTTGCTAAATATGTGGAATTCCTTTTCTGCTTAGACTTAAAGGTAAAATACTAATAAATAATTCCTTTACATTTTTTTTGTTGTTACATTTAATAATTATAAAACTAACTCTTTGCAGTAATTAGTAAAATGCGGGAAAAACATAAGCTTAGTGGATATTTTTTGATTTTGGACGAAAAATCAAACTGGTGGAATAACTTTGCTATTTGTATGGATTGTATTCGAGTATTAGGACTTGATGAAGCTCAGAAGCAAAAATTCACAAATACAAAACGTGCATGTGCAAAGCATCTTGAAGTTTGTCCATATTTTGCTGAAAAGCATACTAAAGAGGAAATCACAAATATTATTAAT